AGGATAAATTTGGAGATTGCATGAAAGAATATGGGTTATGTAAACATCAAGGAGGCACAAATCGAGAATTCCACAACGTTCATTTCCCGATAGGGTAACCTCACTGTGCAAAAGTCAGCCGGATATTCCGCAGGTCTCATGACGATCTAATTTCTATTTTCATCGCGCATTATTTAGTAGACATTCAAATGCGTGTTCACAATTCTTGGCGAATTTATGGTAGCTTGAAAATATGAAATTGCTTGAGGTACCAGACTGGGTGTACTGCTATCAAACGCCAATCCCTTTCAAAGCGTTGAATGCTACTGCGCATCTCGCTGACCGATTTTCACATTATTTGTACAGTAGATGTGCTAACTCATGAAATTTCAACCAAAATTTCGAAATTCGTTCTCATTTCGAAAAGATAAATAAAGGAGTGTTGTAAAACTAATCATGATGCAGCATAAGTCTATAATGATCCAGTTACCTCAGGGTGTCGGCTTTCGAAAGAACTTATCTTCGGCTGCATGCACGATCGATACTCTGCAAAAAATGACTGCTTAATTAGCATGCAATTTTCTCATTGATTTTCGATGCCCTTGAAAATTCAATTATATTTCATGGAAATCATGCAAAAAATATTCATACTATTACATATTCGATAGAAAATCACGTCTTCTTCCACCTTTATACTCAAAAAAGGTATAATTTGGTTTAGAAAAAGTTTCTAATTGTGAGATTTATTAATACCGTCAATGGCCGTCAATGAAACGTCGTGAATCTGCATTTACGAATGTGGCTTGTAAAGTTAACAATATTGTTCAAATCCACTACTTAATTTTATGAACTTCATGTAGTCTCTTCTTAACACCGTAGAGAAATGCATGGTTTTCCGTACACGGAATATATACAACTTTTAGTTTTGAAACCCTGAATGCAAGTGTAACATCAGGTCGGATTCAAAAATATTAGGGAATTAGAAAAGTTTTTTAAAACAGAATTAAACACTTCTTTTAAGTATTCATTTGGAAGAAGACGTGATGTGAGAGAATTGCATGCTATTTAAGTAGTCATTTTTTGCAGAGTATCGATATTGCATGCAGCCGAAGATAAGTTCATTCGAAAGCCGACACCCTGAGGTAACTGGATCATTACAGACTTATGCGGCAACATGTTTATTTTTACAACAGTACTTTATTTATCTTTTCGAAACGAGAACGCATTTCGAAATTTCGGTTGACATTTTATGAGTTAGCACATCTACTGCATGCCTTGCATGAACTGTTTGAAGTTGGTATACGTTCCACGAAATGTACTTGAATTTCTAAGGGCATCGAAAATAAATGAGAAGAAAGCACGCCATTTGAGTAATCTTTTTTACTGAGTATGGTTTTTTGAATGTAACCTGAACGACATTAGTTCGAATGCCGGCTCCCTGATATAACTGAGTTGTTCTAGAATTATGCTGCAAGATTAGAAGTTTTACAATCTTTCTTGATTAATCTTTTTTGAAACAAAAACGCATTTCGCAATTTCTGTTGACATTTCCTGAGTTAGCCCACCCATTGTATGTTGACTAAATGTCCTTGAAAATTACTATGAGGGCGACTACTCAAATAGCCAATGATCATTTTTGTAGGTGCTTAGCCAATAAAATAACAGTACAGCAGACAACCTTTCCATATAAGCAGAACGGAATAGTCAAATTAAGGCAGAGTACAGCCTTCTTCGCCCAGAATGACTAGACCGCCATTGTGGACACATACTCAGACTATTTTAATTGTGTTAATAATCTACTCTGGCAAGTTTACTAATTGTTGGCTGCTTTTATTAGCAACAGTTTACTAAATGCATAACGGTTTATCTAAAGCAAATCATTAGGAAAGTAAAAGTGAACAAATTTCACGTCTAAAATTTGAGAAATGTAAACATCCTGAAATCTGTTTTAAATTATGACTTTATAATTGTCCATTAGCGCATGTTTGCGGATCACCAACGTATGATCTGTGCAAAGGTCAACATACAGATTGCAACGCCGTGTCTTACAGAGCTGAAGATCCGACCAAAGGTTCCGACTGCCGTACAGCCTGCGCTAAGAAACGAGGTTCGCACTTTGTATTCGCATTTACTGTGCATTTACATAGATTTCGCCGGCAAAAGTATGCTAAGGTTATTTGCTGGACCCTGTTTAACATATCATATATTGTAATAATCAAATAGTTCATTCTTCTTATCAGGAGAACTGGATGATAAGATAACAGCATATTATTGCGAAGACGAAAAGAAACCGTGCGTTGCATATGATGTTTATGGAAGAAAGGGCTATGAAGATAACTTCAAAAGACACGTAATGTGTGTCAAATTGTGTCATTTTGTTGGAGCAGGTAAATTGCTTGACAATTCTCCAATAATTATTCTGAACTGTTCCTGTTAACACCCATCATATTATGCAAGCATGCAGGACATGTTTATGATTTTAGCTATTATATTTTCTTAATTCACTCGTTGCTTTGTAGCGCAACATAGTTCCGTCAAGTCCCTTGAAATGTGTCCGAATACCATGGAACCTTGCACTGATATACAGATAAAAGACGGACGTTTTGACGCCTTCAACAAGTGCGCTTTCGTGTGTGATGGCTGGACAGAGCGTGAGTCCTAGGCATCATATTTTGTCAAATTAACGTAATGTTATTGTACTTGCTGTTGCTATTATTTCCGTTAAATTGTTAATTTTTGTTGAAGTGAAAAACACGGTGGAGGCCACAGTAATTTTCTGTACCGAAGCTGGCCTCTGTGAAGAAGGCAGATACTTTAGCCCTCCGAAAGAAGGAAGCCCATTTGAGGATTTAAAGACCTGCTTCAAAAACTGCATGTCAGGTAAGATCTGATATTCATTTCCTAAAACCGCAGAATAAAATATGCCTAACCGCGAAAAAAGCGTCAATTATCGCTATAAGTTCTACTGAGCTGTTCGCCTTAACAAAACACAATGCCAGTTTACCACTCGTAAATGTCGTTATATGCACTTTATGTACTCGTTGAACTACGAACGCACGTAGCAAAAATTGCTTCCGTGAAAACGCGTTAAATTTGTAAATTTAGCAGCGGTTTGATGACAGATCTCCCTTAACTGTCTGTAGACTGTGGATCTTGTTATATACGGATGGTGGTAAAGGAACTTTTACGGGTGCCAGACATTAAGCTGACGAACTTGGAACAAAAGCACAAATCCTTTGGCCGCCTGCCAAAAGTAGTATTGTACACATTCGTATGCCGATGAAAATTAGCGAATTAACTAAAAAATATACAAACAGCAAGTTTTCAAAAAAGGCAGATCTTGAGTAACGATTTGAGGTCAAGAGAAGCAATTGATGTTGGCATTGTAAAGTTTGCAATGGCATGCAAACGGATGTCGAGATTAAACTCCCATATAAAACGATCAAAAGTCTACCGGGATCTCAGTGTTGCCCCTTAATCTACCGTTGTCCGTATTTTCATCCTATAGGGTGAACAGTTCGTATGAGGTTTGTCATGCACTGTTGGGTTGTGGGAAGTTATGGACGCCTGTGTAAACCTACGGTTCACAGATTGTCGCGACGTCCCAAAATGAGCAACCTACAACTTTCATAGTCAAAGTACACTTCAGGAAGTAGACAATTTACATTTTATACGCAAATCTGATATTCTGGTAACTGAAGTTGATATTTAAATTTTAGATTAGGCGTTTATGCCAACTCTTGGTTATGGGTGAATACGCTCTCATGTGCTTCAATATTGGTGTTTTTAGCTGGTTTCGGATTTGGAATTAAATGTATTCTGTGCGCGCTTTGAAAACAAGTCAGAACAAAAAATTCCTCGGTATTTTGTAGTTGCGATGTGGGATATGAATCGCACAAAACACAGGGTTAAGCACAGGGTCTAGCCTAAAAATCTTAACTAATCTTAAGCGAAATTTAATCAACTTTTGTTGAAACCGACGATGCGACTGATTGAAATCTGAGCGGGACCGTCCACCAACGTGTTTAGCTAATGAATTTTACATGTGCAAACCTAACGGTTTTAAACAATGCGGACAAGTGTCCAAAAATTAAAACGGTCCACTAGCTGTCAGCCATATACGAAGGAGCGACAGAAATATTTGGGAATGTAATTTGGACAGGATACACAATTTGAACAGCACATCTTGCAAGTTGCGTTAGGTTGCCGCGGTCGGTAGCAAATATTTTGCTTTTCGTAAAACTCTCCCAAATTGGCCTACTTACTTTGCTTAGACCATACCCTATAGTCTTATAAATACTAGGTCTCAGCGAGCACAAGTTCTACGCTCCAACTGAAACTATGAAAATATTGGGCGCCCTAATTTCCAGTTCGTCATCAGCAGCAGGCAAAAACAAAAATGAACTAGTGCCGTTGAAGAATGGTCAAACAGTGGCAATTTTAGGGTGAACAGTGTATGCTGGTATGCGGCCGAAATGAAATGCAAATTACATTTTCAACTGAACAAACATCCCATAGGATACGGTGCCACCTTTACATAGAATCATTGCGAACAACTGAGAGTAGCGCCATGTCATCTGATCTGCTGTTTAAGTAGCATTGCTGGACAGTAGGCGGTTTGAAAACCTGTGGCGCATTAAATACGAAAAACACAACAGTAATGAATAAAATCCAGCATACTTTTGCGTGCGTGAATATTGCCGTAAATCAAAAATAAAGTGCGTAAACTTGGCGATACGTGCAAAGACTCCTAGACAACGTACGCGCTGTCTAAAAAGTGATCTTGCCTGCGGTCACTAATTTTGCAATATGATCTACCACCGAAGAGAGTGTCCTCTAGTTCTGAAGCAGAGACAGCCAAAAACCATAATATAACGTTCAATCAGGATGGCGTAGGTAGGGGCAGAACACATTTACTGTTATGACGTAAAGTAATTTAGCCTAATAATATCTGGTATTAATATGGGTCACCACAAAATAGAATACTCTCTAGTTCTGAACCAGAGACAGCCAAAGGTTCTAATGAAAAGTTAAATCAGGATGGCGTAAGTAGGAGCTGGACTGATTTACTGTTATGCCGAACTGCGTAAACGTCAGGGCAGCAATTGAGCAGGAGAGCCATTCAGCAAGTCCCTTTGGCCACAACATTTTCTTCAAATGGGGCACAGAATGTCGGCGGTTCACAAAATAGGGACTTGCGTTGAAACAAAACAATCGCTTCCTCGCCGTAAAGAGTCAGGCCGACGTCAGGTGCAGTCTACCGTTGCCGAAAAATTATATGATTTGTTATGCCAAAATCTGTCATACGTCTGCGTTAATTGGACTAAACGAATTAGGGGGAAGCAAGAATTGCCACAGAAACCTCGCTGGACATTATGTACCATATTTTGCATAATAAATACGGAGCAAAATACCGTTATCTACATGTATATCAATTCAGTTTAATTTTAATTTAAAAATTCAAATTTATTTTATAGAAAACACGCAAAACTATATACCCCTTTCTACTCGTTTGGTAGAAGACAATATTAGCTACGCCTTTTAACCCATGAAATATTATATTTGGTTTTTGAAAAAAATTTCCGATAGCCGAATAGTGTCGATCCAGATGAGCCTTTGAATTAGGGATGAGTGATTCAAGTTACAAAATTTGTTCATTTTGTGTGGAACAAATTATATATTCCTTTATGCATTCAAAAATATACAATAAAAAGTTCATAAAACTTTACAGTTGATGCAAAGTATGTTAAAAATCTCTAGAGGAGCAAGTGTAAACAGACAGGTACGATGCAGTATGAACAAATATCGCACGGTCTTAAAAATTTCAGAATAAGAAACTTTTTAAAACCTTAATATCTGCTTTCCGCGGGTAGAGAATGCAAATGCAACGGGTCTTCCTACCATACGAGTAGAAGAGAGTAAATTTTTGTGAATGTTGTCTATAACATATAATTATATTTATAAGACCATCGATAATCTAGGCGACAGACGCAGACTAATTAGGAAGGCGTTCTTGAGGACTTGTGGTTTCTGCAGGAGGTCAAAAGAAGTGCCTTCAAAAGCCGACATCCAAGCGATTCCAAAATACTGTAGGATTATGCAGCCACACCTGTGCAATCCTCCCTAATGGAAAATGCATTTCAGAAATTCGCTCAACGTTTAATGAGATCGATTGCTGACTATATCGCTCAATACATGTTTAATTGGTAAACGCAAACGCGTTTTCCATCACGAATAGAGGGCCCTTTCTCTTCCTAAAGCTTCTATTACTGTTTTACTATAGCGCATGTACAAAATAACTGTTTTTTTAAAGATTACCCTTATTCCCAGTAAACGGGTTTTATTTCGTACAGCCTTCCTACTATGGGGCCGTCATTGAGCAGCCACCTCCATTTGCATGATGTAACGCATGGCTTCCACATTCATCTGCTTTCCTTGAATTGATTCCTATTGATTCCTCGCAGGCTTACCTACAGTTATCGGCTGAAGAGGAGCACATAATATATGCGTCTCAACGATGGCGTAAAAGCGGCCCCAATCGTGGTCTAGCGCTTATTGTCACAATGTCTACACATGTTCCTGAGACCTATGGAAACGTAGATGACGTAGATTGGCCGAGTGCGTCTACAAAGGCTTAAAGTGGTCACAAAACTTTCATCGATTGTTGCGTGGGGAATAAACATGAAGGAGCGAATTGTCTTACATGGTAATCAGTGACATAATACTGTGCTCACAACTTTTCGTGCCATGTCGCATGTGAGTTGTTGGCACTAAACACGATTTATGTTGGGGGGGGGGGAGCATGATAGTCACCGGATTTGTCCCCATTTGAGATTTTGTCGGTTTTAACTAACTGTCACTTTTTAATTGATTCCACAGTTTACAGTCACAATGAAAAAGATCAGCTTGGAGAGACGCAAAATATGATTGACCAGCAGACTGTCATTAAGCGATCGACCTTGCAAGGATAAGGATAGGACAAGGCTTGTTCGGCAGAACGCGGTAAAGCGGAGATGAGAGTGGAGAGGGTTTAAAACGAAGTCCATAGACTTGAAGTACGAGATGAAAGGAAAATTGAAAAACCTAAAACATATCAACCCCGCCAGGCATGGAGTCATCGGAAATGGCTTGGTAGCACTCGGCCGACTCCTTGGTACATTTCACAGGGACCACAAATCAACACAGCCACCGAAAAAGCACATCGAGTGCCCGAACATCAAGACCAAACTTTCAAAAGCTGTAGGTTATTTGGAGAAGCAGAAAGAGCGTGGCGTCACCGGCTAAGTCCAAATGAAGAGATGAACATGCTCGAAAGTGCACGCAAAGCCGGCCAGAAAAAGGACGGGCAAAGTCATTCATCCAATCAACGCGTATGGCATTATCGAGCACTAGCAAAATCTTTGATTACACGTGCGGCCCAATCAATGGCCAGTCGTACATTCAGAGTTATTCTCCACTTGGATTCTCGCACACGATACTACATATCTATGAATACTACGCTAAAACTTCAGATGCTCCAGAACGCCGAATACCCAACATAGATAACGCGATATGAAATGCGGGTTAGGATAGCGTGTTTCGCAGATTTCGAAAACAAAACCGAACACCGGGAAGCCGCTTATATTTTTGTTTCGTAAACACATCGGGAAAAAATAGAAAGGAGAGAACATTCGGCTGGATAGAAAGTACAATTACACATTTTTTGACTTCGTGCGGACGGAGAATAAACGTCTTCATTGCAGACGGACAGGAAGAGCATTGGTTTTCCCTTTTTGTAAGACAGTCGTGCGGCTCAATTAGTTATAGAGGAGGTCCGGCATCCCTATGCACCGTTTAGGTTTGACTGCATAAAGTTGAGTTCGAGGTCGACAATAATTGCACAAAGCCGCAGCAATTTAAGAATATAGGACGTAGGGAGGGACAGTGCAGTTTAAACCACTCAAGTACACGCGTGTATTGGGTTAATTTGTATAAAACGGTTGCATCGCGGTGATACGAAAACTGGTAATGTCGCCCTATGTTGCAAGCTGTATGTAACGTGTTCTAGAGCTCAACGGTCCTTATTAGCATTTTCTATGTGCTTTATATATTGAACATTCATAAAGATGAAAACAGTTCCATCAAAAACGGACCTATCGTTTGATAGAAAATTAAACCTGGCTGGGGCTGAAATCAGTTACCTAGCGATTGGGAGGCCACCAGAGTTTTGAAAAGAGCTTGTCCATAAACGTAAGAAGCAAACCACACTCCCTCTTTTACATTCAACGGACATATCTTAATAAAACCTAGCACAGTTGTGTCATGGCATGGGTGAAGACTCATTATTTTAGAAGAACTGCGGTGTGAAAGAAAGTGGTTGCCGAATATTTAGCCTGATTTGAAGGGTGCAAGGACGTTTAATTCCGAATAGGCGCATTAACCTTTCCACATTAATCTCTGCACCATTTGATGGTCGCGTTTTTATTCAGTTGTACACTTGGATCGGTTGCTTTGAGGTTGATTCTGCAGAGAATATTTGGATTTAGGTGTAACAATTATGCATACACTACCACACCGTCGCTCTCTCTTACCGTTATCTTTTGGTGCAAGTAGGTGTCCTTTTGGAAAGGGTACTTGAGCTGGCGCAATTTTCACGGTTAGCAGACCCTGATAAATTAAATCGACTCAAAATCGAACTTTCGTTCTGCAAAGCGCGGACCCAATAATCAACTCCCCCACCATATTTAAGTAATCACAAATGATCGGGAACACCTCAGCCATTCGATAGCACGATACTGTATCGTCGACTTTGAAGATCAGGATGACATTTATATACCCATGCGTGAACGGGTTTCATTTAATGTGTTCCAGAATGAAAACCAAAATTAAAGAACGAAGTACCACAACGGCACATCCACACTAAGAGCTATTGTACAGGATGAAAAGTGTTTCCTAAAGCTTCCCTGTTACGCGCATCACAGGGTTATTGGTCAAATTCTCTGTATAGAAGTAGCCATGAAAAAGACAAAAATTGTCCTTTATCTGCGAATGTCTCTGATGATGGATTCGAGTGAGAATCCGAAACGTCAGTCCAATAAATTTCTTGTTCCAGTGATCGCATCTTCGCCTTCTGAAATGCATTTGTCAAAGAAATGGAAAGACCTATTATCGCATCTGTCGACCTGGCTTTAAGGCATTTCGATTTTATATCATACATTTTTACATACGGCACTTCATGCGACTTTCCTCTTACTTTTCATGTTTGCGGATTAGCTTTCGAATTCGAGAAGAATTTACGTGATGCGATTCCTATACTGTCAAAAAATGTATAAGAATAATTCGCCTGGAATCGCAACACACTGAGCAAACCGTTTGTATTTGCAGCACTGAACGCTCAGCAATTGTGCGCGTTCTACGCGTTTGTTTCCTTCCAATTTCCTTTTCAGCACAAGCCCAGCAGCAAATGGAAAATACAGTGGTATAATTTTCTTTCCGTTAAAAAGAAGGAGGACTTGGATGTCCATTTCTAGCCACGGGCCCGTTTTCCTGTCGGTTTTGATCAGGAATTTACAATGGTAGAGAGGCGCTCATTGATAGTTTCTACGGATCTCATTCATCCTGTCGTGCCTTACGGGCTCTCCCTCTCATTTTCGAGCCAACATGGCCGTAATAGCTACACAATAGCCCGCCCTATGTCACGTAGTCTTATGCGGATTTCAGCTGGCCGATTTGTGGTTTAGAGATTGTCGCTTCGAAATGCTTAACTGCAAAATGAAAAGCGGCGATACATTTCTTGATAAATTTCTAGATTTGCACAACAAAATATCAGATTATTGTTGCATATGAAACCAAGTAAAGGTCGTATAATAGGGAAGACTGGTAGCGAACGGATTTCCAGTAAAAAGCGGCCAACTGGACCAATAAGAGATGTTATGTCAGATTGTGATAAATATTGTGTTTTAGGAGGTGATCACTAGAGAGAATAATGACACTACAGTTTGGCATATGTCATTTTTATTTAACCAAATCGAATTTGTGCCATCAATACTTCCGTGAGTATGGAACAGGGTGTAAAAATAATAGATATTTTTAATCTCACAATACAGGACAGCTGAACTGCTAACTTTTCGCACCCATTAGCAGAAACTATCTTAAGCATGTAGAAAAAAAATCGCGGTGAATAAATATGAAAACATGCGGGGTTTAGGACTACGGAATTCAAAGTAACTGGTTAAGTGGTCGAGCGCCTGAGTATTTTAAAGTCTGTGATTGAGTGTGGCTGTCTGGTGATGGTTAATAAGCTGCGCATGGACATTCCTGTGTTCTGAAGAAGGAGACACGATCGCCGGGACAAGAGCTTTATTAGCCTGACGTTGCATCTGTTCTCCATTCCTGCGTATTTTCTTCATCTAGTGCATCTGCTTGGCAGGCTATATCCCCGCAGTGGAAAATGTACAAGATGACAGATGATAGTTTGAATTAAACGACTCTACCGATTCCGTCAGTGAATTAAAGTTGGGAAGATGATACTCGGAAAACCCTCTTCAAATGAACAAATTTTTTCTCTCCGGATCTGTATATCTTCATTTTATACGTGTAGTGATCTGTAATTCATTTGAAAGTAGTTTTTCCTTCTCAACTATGTGCCTGCTAAACTCAGAGTGTGTTTTTTATAAGTTACGCCCACATTTTGCAGTGATATGCTTCGCGAACGATACCAAGTGAGGATTTCGGCGAGGGGATGCTGCAGAATTTTATTACAAATATACTCAGACAAATTATATTCTTAATCTACTCATTAGTGTAGTAATTTCACCTTAAAGACCATTTTCATAAATAAGGATTGATATCGTTCACATGGCAGCATGCCAAGCCTTGTCGGTTAACACTTTAACGGCTCGGATGCATGTCCTAAATCCACCTGTTGTTCGCAGTCATCCCTGTGTTTCTGACACATATGTGGTGTTTTTAGTTTGTGTTGTTAAAAGACCAGTGACTGTAACCGTTTCAGGACCGTCATGGCGATGAATCGCGAAATCGGCGAACCCATTGATGTGTCCCTTCACCTGTTCATAGATTGTCCCGTCGAACTTGAAGTTCGCCTAAGTCCTTCAGCTCCTGAAGTTCTGTCTCAGAACGTACTTCACTTTCGACGGAACAATCTACGAACAGGTGAAGAGCAGACCAATGGGTTCGCCGATTTCGGGGTTCATCGCCGAGGTGGCCCTGCAACGGTTACATTCGCTGGTCTTCAAACACCACAAACCGAAGTTCTGGGCCCGGTATGTGGATGATACCTTCGTCGTTATCAAACGTGATCAACTGTAGACATTCAAGGAACGTCTGAAAGCTGTCTTCCCGGACATATAATTTACGATCGAGGAGGAAGAGAACAACCAGCTGGCCTTCGTGAATATTCTCGTATGCAGCAAGGATTGTGGTGGACAAAAGACAAAGTTTTCAGGAAAGCGAAAAATGCGATGCAAGTACTGAACTTCAACAGCAACT